TTAATATCAATATAAAAAAATATGATTTAACTAACTTGCTTTTTATGATATACTTATTTTTGTTTAATTACTTGTGCAAACATTCGTTTTTTTTCAAGGGAAAAAGTCATTTCGAGAGATTCTATTTGTGCCTTGATTTATGTTGATTGATTTTTTATTTTTTAAATTTTAAATCTCACCTACAACTTTGTACTTAACACGTGAAGATCATATTCAATTCAACAGACATTATACAACCAGTAGTAATTGAGGAGAAATATTAGCCTACAATTTTTGAATTTTATGTCTAAAGTTGTATTCATCTCCACGATATAATTGATTGGACTGATTCATATTGACAACTCTAATTGAAACCATGATAGGATTATTTTTTAATCATAAAACTAAAAAGTGGCTAGCCAGTACCCCGGAGTGGTAGGAGCGTGTCGAGACCATATCGCCATAGAGTAACAACTATGTTCAGATTTGATCTATTAACTCGGCAATTCATTCATTATTATTTGCCAGTGGATTAGGTCTGTCATGACCTGTCACTACAACAAAAAACAACTTTTAGTGGCAATAAATATACACATAAATAAAGAGTGCTAAAGTCTTTACCCGCATTAGTTAAGTGTCATTAGAACCAATGTCGCTAAAAGTTTTAGGGACATATACAAAGAGTGTTTTGCCACTAAAAATACATATTTAGTGTCAATTAAGCTATTGTTGTTAATTAATTGTCGCTAATGATCATTTTTTATGGTGTGTGATTAGTGGCTTTTCAGCCCAAATTTAATGGGTCATCTACAATATGAGTCCACTAGCCTTTTAGCCCAAATGGGCCATAACAAATCAGCCCACTAGCCTATTAGCCCAAATGGGCCTTTGGTTGTATGAGCCCACTAGCTTTTTGAACCCCCTAATAGGAAAGGTGACCAGCTAAAGAAATTTTCTATTATATACAAGAGTGAAGACGACCAGGACGACCACAGCTATATTTGTTGTACCTTACGCAACAATGATTAGACAAATATGTACTCTCCGTAATTTTAACCAAAAGTGAGGGTATTTATGTCTTTTGAATATGTTCTTTCTTCTGCTCTGCTTCTCGATCATTCTCGGCTCTATTTTTCTCTCTCCTTGCCCTTCGTTTTGCAGATCAAACGAGGAGTTTCTCAAATAGTACATCATGCTTTAAAACACCCGCTCCGAGTTTATCAATAAAAAATTCATCCTTTGATAGAGGTTTTCCACACTGTTAACCGATAATTCTTCCGATACAGTTATCTAAATTTCAATTTCAGCCTCGAAATGTCATACCAAATCAAATCTGCAGCTTTCGTTCTCTGAGCCTTAAGTCCTCAAATTGAAGGGAGTAACTAAAAATGAGCCTGCATACTCATTATTTGAGATACTCAAGGTCAATTTATGTTGAAGAGAAGAAATTGTGGATTTGTTATACTACAACTAAGGTACGCTCGCATGCATGATGATGCCCATATTTTTTTTTCGTTTGCAATGGTAATTAAATTTCATTGTTCCGTTGTGAATTTGTTATATGTTGAATTGAAAAAATTGCGGATTTGGTATACTGCAAGTAGCCTTTTTAACCTGCAAAGTTGTCCTTTTTTACTTTCATGTTCTTAATTGATTTTAAGATGCCCTTCTTTTTTTTTTCCTGTTTTTTTAAGGTACAACTAATGGAAGTTATGCCTTAACTTACCGATCCTAATCAAATTTTTAACATACGTCAAATTAAGGGAGTTAACAAAATTCAATCTTGCAAGTCCCACTATTTTTATTTTATGTTAAAAGAAATGTAGGTTGTATCTCACATGTATATAATATTATTAGGCTATCAAATTAATAAAGAATTTTATTTGGCACCTCCCTTGAAAAACATGCTATATTGATAATTTTGTATATTTCTTCCTGTGGATGCTATTGAAAAGGTGTATGGCAGATACATGACGCTACTATTCATGAGAAAATCTTGTTGCATTGGCAATTGTTATAATTTTTTTCTTACTACTTATATTCTTTATTCATATGGATTAGTGAAGGTGGGAAACAACATTGCGTACACTTACCCTCTCCAGACCCCACTTTGTGCCACTATACATGGTATGTTGTTGTTTTAATAGTGCTGATGGGATTTTTTTTGGAAGAAGCAGGGTCTGTCAGGTTTTCGTTTTAAGTCAAATAAGTTTGTTCTATATTCTAGAATATTAAGACCAAACCATCTTACTTTCTTTTGCGATCTTGAGGTCAATTACCTAAGCATATGTGAAGTAAGATCAAACACATCATAATCAATCACACAAGATTGCGTTCAATAAAGATATAGTTTCTCTATGATTGTAGTGTCTGGGCCACTTGTGTGCACCTCAAACTAATTTCATGAAATACTTGTTATATCCCTTCAACACAAGTTACCAAGTTACTCTTATAATTATCAAGATTTAAATTGTTTTCTCGATAACCAAATAAGCTCTCCATATGATTAGTTTATTTTTAAAATAATAATGATCTCTATGTGAAATTTATTGATAAAAATGTCTCATTGAGGTCTAAACCACAAGAAGCTTATGTGAGCAGTAGGCATGTATTTGTGAATTTGATGTTTTTCAAAGTGACAATAAAGTATAACACTTTTTATTGAAGAGAAGAAGGGCAAAGGCCCTCACAGGCATGAATTAGAGACATTTACAAAATATTTCGAATGATATGGTTATGACTCAAGTAGAAGGCTGGGTGGTGGATCTTTTATCTCTACCTTATTCATGGCGAATTGAGAATGAAAGGATCATGTTATCGTCAATCGCTTGATACATATTCATAGTAAACATAAAAATTTCTTAACAACTTGAATCCACAGCCTTTTTGTTATTTATTTTGGTAAGTTGATCGAGAGGGAAGGTACCTGAAGGCTAATATTTGTAATTTCAATGTTCTACCTATTGGTTTAGAATTGTATCTATGTGTCACAAAATCATTGACTGATATAAGAACATGATAAAAAGAGGATAATAACAGAGAGGATAAAACTTTCCTCTGAATTGATGATTAAAAGAGACGCGTAGAGGTTGATAAAAATTGACCATATTAATGTCGAAGGGAGCTTGAGATCTTGACATCTGACCTTACCGAGGAAAACTAACCACATGTATGAGATTTACTCGAAGTATTTTAGATTTGTAAGAAAATATGCTTTTCTTAATTCCTATAGTTGCTTGTGTAGCATTGTTACTTGCAGGAAATACCTAGAATCTGTAGTAAATGAATTATGTTTCTATTTCAGAAAAAGTATTCTTTCAAGTTTCAATTATTTGGTGAATGGTTTCAGTCCTATATAGTCCTGTAGGACTGTTTTAGTTTCAAAAAAGTTTGAAAATGCTTTCATAGCAATTGTTTTTTTTTATCTTTGTGTTGTTTACTCTGTACTTTAAACTCAAAAGAAATACAAAGTTCTTCCAGTAGTCTGCAAGATACATTAGGGCATAAATCGTTTGCTTTCAACCTAAGTTGCTCAGATTTGGGTGAGGGTGTTCAATACCGATGTGAATTTAGAGGTCGGATTCTTCGTGATTCTTATTCCATGATATGAGGGTACAGATCCAAGTACTGGGGGTAGAAATGTGGTGGTTGAAATAACTTGCTTCTATTTGAATAAATCAATTACTAGGTAAACTATATATGCTTCTATTTATTTCAACATGACATTTTTTCTCACAAACGTAGTAATTTCCTGTGTTGATGACGTTATCTGACAGGTCCTGATGTTTTTGTGAAGACCACGAATAAAGGAGGCTGATAATGACTAGCGGGGCTATCCCTTGAAGTAAATACATTACATGGTAATACCAAGCAGCAATTGGTATGTAGTAGACATATTCTCTTTCTGTTGTTTTGTGTAATAAGTTTTTATTAACTATGCCTCTGAAATTGAAGATAAGATTTTGATCAAATGCTAGCTTAATCTAAAGTTTGTTTGAGCATGGGACATGTCATTATTGGTGACCACCACAAGAGGTAAATTTTCTTACTTGATTATCTTAAAACATCATTTGGAACTTGTAGGTACGCTCCGACAGAGCTTTTCTTATTCTTCTTTGGATCATTTATTCTTCTATTTGTCTGGTTCTCTAGCAGCTTGCATGAAGGACCAATTTTATGTGAATTTTATCATCATGCCAACTAAAGAAATTAAGAAATATGGCGTTGATCAACATTTGGCGTACTAGATAATTTGATTGTTTGGAGCATGTGATCATTTTGTTATTTTAAGTCCTCATCTTTTGGTGATACATTTGATGATCAGATCCTTTTTCTTGAACTATAGTTCTACCAAATATAAGCTATAGATTGTAGTAGAGAGGTTGTTTCTGAACAGAACCTCGACTAAATAAAAAAATAAAAAATTCAAAGCAGTTTGAAAAGGAAGGGCTATATTAATTAAATTTTTTGTCTTTTACTACTTCATGACCTAAGATTGTCGCAACTGCTAAAATGCCCGTATAATTTTTTTGGCTAGGATATTTGAAATTTGGGCAAATTTATTGAAAAAGGAAGACAGTTCAGTGAATGCTCACTATGAAGTGATAGTGAAATGCATGGTAGTGAAAATTTTGAGTTCTTGAAGAGTGTATTTTATTTTGATTGAAAATCTTTTTATTTGATCGTGAAGGCACTTAGCTGTGGAGAAGAACAAGACAATTTTATTTGGTCACAAATTCTAACAGTGTCAAATTGTTAATTAGACGACCTACATTTGACGATAACGATGACCATTCCACATGTAATGTTGTCTATGATTATATTGAAAAGGCTTTCTCTTGAACTTATGCTATAATTTGCAATGGTAAATCCAATATACATTTTGCATTAGCTTGTTATTACTCTATGTGGATGAATTTACCTCATAAACATACTGATAATCTTGAGTTTATACTGCCTGATTTTCAGAAAGATTCTTACTAATCTTGTCAATCTAAAGATTGGATTTTTCAAGTAAACCCCCAATTTGTGTTGTGTCAGATTTCTTTTTTGGATGGTCAGCTAAGTTAACTCATGAATTTGGTATTCGACATTCTAATTTTGTGGTGCTGGTGGTTTTGGATTAAACATACTGGTAATCTTGAGTTTATACTACCTGATCTTCAAGAAGCTGGAAAATTTCATGTTACACAATTGTCACTTAGTCTTGTTATAGCTGATGGGAATAATGCTTATTCAGTTTTTCAGATGAAAAATCTTCCACTTTGAAAAAACTGAGATGGGGTTCTGATTAATACAGTTGAGGAGTTTGAAAATAATGGATTGATGTATTTTAGAAGAAAGTTATGTATACCTGTTTGGGCAATAGGACCAATACTTTTTCAAGAAAATGATACTCCTAGGAAAGAACCAAGAATTCCTTTAGTAAAATGTCTTCCAAAGATTCGTTGCAGTGTAGAGACACTAAGAAAATGTCAGCTTGTCTATTATGCCTACAATTACAAGTAAGCAGACGAACGAGGCTTCAAGGTGAGTGTTTTACCTCCGTTAAGCTTTTTATATTTACTTTGAATATATAATATGTGCTTGAGTATATATATGTGCTTTAAGGATAATAACTATTGATAAGAGAAGGCTTAAGCTAAAGAAATATCTTGCATCTTGTAGCAAAATGATACAGATTCATAATTTTGAGTTTTGACTATAAGCCAGAGAGGAAAGAGCTGGAAGAAAGAACTAGAAAAGCTAAAGTGAAAACAAGTCATTCAGAAGCTCTCACTTCGGTCATGGAGGTACTTTTATTTGAAAAGCTTCTTGAACTTTTAGTAATTTTGAAAATTTTCAGTATATTTCTGTTATTTTTCAAAATATTATTACACTTTTGCGCATATGCCTTAAAGTACATGTGCTTTATTGTAGTACAAATGAAAATTGAAGCAGTAATTTTGTTTTTCATCTGGCAATGAATTTGTAAACTCCTCTATGAGGACGTCACTTTGTAGTATGGGCTGAGCTAAGCAAATAGCAAATCGAACTACCACTGAAATCTATGAGCCATTTCAGAAAATGAATGTCATCTTATGACAGCTGAGTATGAATTTATAATAGAGCTTATATCACTTTTTGATTTGCAGCTCGCTCTCTTGCAATTTCTCGTGTAGCTCCCTCTACTTGATCTCAAATTCTACCAGGGAGCATCTTCAATTGAGCATAAGATAAAGAGCTTTTAATGACGTATTTATTGTGGCATTTGTACTTTGGAAACTTTTATGTATTTGTAAAAATAGTTTAACAATATTATCATACCATATCCCTTTTTTATTGTACAACTACAATATTTGTTATGATAATCAAACTACAAAAGAGAAGTCGTAATTGTTCTTTCAGAATGATACACGTTGGGCACGGGCATTTCATATCTAGTATTTATATAAACCTTTACTTATATCATATATGGATGATTTCTTTTCTTAAGTTTATAATTTATTTGGAGTTTTTAAGTACATTTTATAAATGAATTAATTGTTAAGTATCGTATAAATGATAACTAACATGCTATTACATGTTAAAAGTACATTGACATCCTAAAAGTATTCTTTAATTTGTTGTAATTCAGTCCACAAAATGAGTTTAAGTTATTCGCATTGTCAGGGTATTAGGATTTTAATCATATTAAGTTAAATTCACTAAAACAATAAGCTCCTGACAAAATAACTAGTAGAAAAATAGAAAGGTGGCCTCTTCAACAAGCTAAATTGATCATATAATGTAAAATTTCTCTATACAGAAGTGTCAGTATACATTTGTAAAGTGTTAATGATATTCTTCTATTATTTTCTTCGTTTTAATTTGTTGCTTTTTTTTTATTCAGTTTTAAAAAAATCTATTTTTTTTTTGTAATTTTGTCATTTTATCTTTCCACGTGACATGTTTAAAAGACCATAAGATTAAAGAACATTTTATACATTCTATGTACTGTTTCCCCCCACACCCTATCAGGAGGATCAATAGTATTCTCACTTATCCTCCAACGTGACTCGAACCCTTAACCAACTAGTTGATGGTGGAGGTGCTCAGCCAAAGACCATAATATTAAAAAATCTACTTATTTTCATAAATTCGTATCAAATCAAAATCAGACAAACAAATTAAAACGAAGAAAGTATAACTTTTAAGAATGGAGAGTACAAGTAGGGCAGGAATTAAGCAGCATGTCAATCTTAAACCCACCCATGTCTGAATAGGGAGTCGACATGATTATAATGTTGAACCTTAATTATAACCATGCAAATGTTATCTCTAATCTAATCAACTCCTAGTCCCACATTGTACATAATTAGTCAAGATCCACTTGTTATTAATTTGAAATTTGCATCACAAAATAAATGTGATTATTAATGCAGAAAATAATTAATTAACCACCATCAAATAACATATTCCACATGACAAAAATGACAATGTCTAAACCACTGAAAACAAGGCTTTAGTCATTTCAAGCTCCATTATCATTGTTCTTATTAAAAAAGTTCAATATTCATATATATTATGTATATAATAATGATAATGGGCTTATAAGTGGCTGGTGGAACAATAAATTTAATTACCATAAGAAGCAAAATAAGTAGAAAACAAAACTGAAGAGTACTTAAAGTACTTCTTGAAGAAGTTGCTATATATAACTGGAAAAATATTAGCTTTTTTCCTCCTTTATATACCAAAATATAGCTAAGAGAAGAAGAAAAATAGTTTGTTACATTACGTTCTCGCTATGTGCTGGATTTATTTGGGGAAAGGTTGAACCACATTGTGTACTAGATGATATTATCTTGCATAAGGATGGATGTGTTTAATTTGAACTCGTAACTTTCTGATCATACATTGATAAGTTTCATTATTGTGTTAAAGCGGGTAAAATCTAGTCAGGGTGGTGGAAACAGATTTCTAGGAACCCAATAACTTTTGTACAGACCATGTATATATTTATATTGAGAAATCTATAAAAATATATAAGAAATAGGTGTGGAAACACAATAATCAAGTAGTTTCCTGGTCCAACGATAGAATGTAACTTGTTTAAGTTTTGTTACCTCTCTTGATTAGGGTTCAAATCCTTTTGGGCACATAAAATAAAGTTTTTGTTTTAATTTGTAATAGTTGAAACTCATAAACCTCAAATTTTAGATCCGCCTTTGTGCACATAGGGTCAGAGCTAGGCGTGAACCATCCACACCAAAAAATTATATTTATATTCATAGTTATTGATCAATTTCATCAACTTTTTCGTATATTTACTACTTTAGTTTATATCTTGATTTTCCTTATAAAATTTTGACTCCGTCAATGACCAAGACAATGGGGTTGGTGGGGAGAGAGGAAGTAGGGTTTGGTCTAAGCAAAGGAGAGCAATATCCCCACTAATAAGGAAAGTATCCAATTGCATCAGAGGCAGTACTGAAAATGTTGAGTTTTTTTAATTAAGAGCATGAAACTATAATCCATTCTTTAATTGTGGCCAACAAAAAAGGAACATAAAATAACTCATTTATATTCTAATTCTAAAAAGAGAGAAACAAAAGCAATGACCCCAGCAAATATTATTGGGGGGAAACTATAATATTCTATGAAAAGAAAGAGGATATTATAATTAATATTTGGAAAATATTTGTTCAATTCAAATCAAATTTGGATCATGACAAACTTAGAACAATTAAAGAAAGCAAAGACCCCTTTATTACATTACAACCTATATATAAAATACATAATACTGAAAACCTTACAAACCCTAAACAAACTTGCATGATGATCTTCATCATATAATATACACAAATTAACTTCTCACACAACCACACAAATTTAGATTAATAAACTACTGATTAATACTAGCACACACAAGTACAAACATTGGAATTCCAAGATACAAGTTATATGCAAATTTAAGGGGGTGGACAGCCCGATCGCACAAAGTACTATCATGTGTGATGTAGAAAGTTTGTCCTAATGCAAACATTTTTTACTATCTTCATATGAGCTCGAACTCGTGACCTATAGGCCACACAGAGATGACTTTATTGTTGCTCCAAGGCTCCCTTGCATAGGCAAAACATGCATAAATATTGAAACTATAGAGAAATTGGAAATTTCTCCATTATTCAAACCCTAATTAATTAAACTTCAGCCATGCTTAGAAGTTAATTAGATAGATCATGAAGAAATATCAAGACTTATCTCCAAACAAATAGCCCAATGATGAATCTCCTCCTGGAACTGAGTTCACCTTTGTTGATGGACGACCCTAAATTAAAATTTTAAATTAAATAAACAAAGAAAAATAATAATTAACAACTATATTATATGAATCAATATTGAAAGAACAAAAGAAAAGGTGCATGAAGAAATAATTAACCTTTAAGGTCGGCTATATAAATTCTTACTGATCATGTCGGTCTAATTAAGCTTATCTCATATCAACATTATACGAAACAAATGAACAAACTCTTGATAATAAACAAATAAAAATGAAAATCATTAGAAGCCCTCTCTATATATTTTCAAGCTACTAGTAAATAAATCTGAGAACTACAAATGAATAAAAGAGTAGAAAAGGAAGTAAATCAAATGAACAAAATTATTGATTATTAACCAAGATCAATTAAAAATGAAAAATCATTAAAAGTTCTTGAAAAGAAGGAATTAGACAAAATTTTGCTAATTTCATTTAGATATGGATTAGCGATGCCTTATAAGAAAATTCAATTAGCTAAGAGCTATTTAGCTACAGTTATCCATAAATTACCGAAAAATTTCATAGCTGATTCCATGTTTTCTAGTAGAATTCTCTATATTTTCAAGCTACTAGTAAATAGATCTGAGAAGTGAGAACTATATATGAATGAATGAAAGGAAAAACGAGAAATAAATCAAATGAACATAAACATACTTTCTTGATAATTAATAATTAACCAGAGGCAATAAAAAAAATGAAAATCATGAAAATTCTCCACATATTCAAGCTACTAATCAATAAATGAAAGGAAAAAAAATAATCAAATGAACAAACTTTCTTGATAATTTTTTTAAAAAAACCAATGGAAATCACTAGATCTAAGTTCTCTTTATTTTCAACATAGTAAAATGAACATTCTTTCTTGATAATTAATTAACCAAGGACAAGTATATTTATTTATATAAACATAAAATCATATATACTCACAGTAATGAAAATTCCTGAATTTTGGCCTTGAGATCTTTGATAAGTAATTGAAGTAGTATTAGAATTATTTTGTGAATAATTTGTATCATCATCAATTCCATAAGGAGGTGCAAGAATAGTTGGAGAAGGTGGAGGTTCATCAATTTTTTGCTGTTTTTTATCATCACCAAATAAATAACCTAATGAACTTTGTCCTCCACCATAGCTAACACCTCTAGATGAATTTGGAGATTTCTCCATTAAAAAACAAATTGTATTGAGAGGGATTAAGGAAGAAAAAAAGGATTAATTAACTTGTGTTTAGTAGAAAGAAAGATTTAGCCCTTTTGTCCTTGAAAAATAAGTGTGGTTTCCCTTTTAATTTTATATTGACAATTAGTACAAATAATGTAATTAGGTCATTCTCATAAAAAAAGCAAGAATAGTTAAGTGAAATCCTGGTGGCGTTTGGATATGAATTGATTGATATTTGAAATTAAAAGAATAATATTTGAATTTTAAATTGAATAATTTGATAAATAAATGCTTATATTTAAAATAATCTCCAAATTTTATTTCAAATTTATGAAATTTAATATGGATAAACAACAATTCGTAATGGCAAATTGGCAATGGGGCTATAGAGAGAAGCAAGTGTCTTATTTAACCACCAAGAGTGTAGTGGGACTGGGATGGATGAGTATGTCTTCATTCTTAATTAAAAGTTTTGAATATAAATTCTATGAATTTATATTTATTTATATACTATATATTTAAATTTTCGTAAAATTTTACACATAATTTTATACTTTATATTGAGAGTGTTGGGTTAGATGAACTTGGCAACAACAATACGTAGACAACTCCATAGACCATGGTATACCATATTATAATTTAGGTTTGAGAAAAGACATAAAGTGACACCTGAAGTTGTCTCGAATTTTTAAAAAGACACCTTAACTACGCAAGCGTCCTATTACCCCGAAAAAGTATTAAATATCTTTGTAAATATATCATTTTGATCAATTTTCTCCCTATGTTTGTGAACACGATGATGACAAGGCGTGAATGTATCACTTTACTTCCAAAAACCAATTAAAAAATGACACATTTCAGTTATTTTGTCAATTAATTAATTAATTCTTTTTTAAATGCACCATCTTCCCCAAAATTTCAAGAGAGCCTTTGGTT